GGGGCGCGCGGGGGCCCGCGGAGCCATGCGCGGGGCGGGCGCAGGAGTTAGCGCGTGAAGGGGCAGAGCGGAGCGAGGGGAGGGCGCCCGCGGAGCGCCCGCGCGGAGCCGAGCCTCCCGCAGCGCTTTCGCGGGCAGCGGGTCGGGTTTTGCTGACAGAAGTAAAAACCGCTTCAGCTTTGAAACCGTTGAACCGCTTCGCCTGCGTTTTTACTGAAGTGAAACTTCGCTCCCGAGGTGCCCGCAGCGGGTCAGCGGGAGCTGCGCCAGCCCGCGGTCCTCTGCGATCCCTCCCGGCTCCGCTGTGCACGCAGAGAGCCCCTTGATCATTATTTTCACCCCGGTAAATTACAGAGGGTGGAAACAGAGCTTGGCAGCATCCGCACTTTGTCCGGGGCGGCTGTGCAGGAGGGCAGCTCAGACACAGCTCCCAGGCAGGCCCGGGCTTGCTCTCCCAAACCGGCCTTTCCCCCAGGCCCCTGCGGCGGCCGGGTTCAGATTAAATCAGTACAGGTCGGTTTCTAGCGGCCACGCTTGGTTAAAGCCACAGACATTCATGAACTACCTACGCACGAGGCTCTAAGCACTGTTAAACAACTTCACTTTCTACTCACTTTTTGAGCATTAAAATATAATTATCTCAGGTGCTAGGCTGCCACTATGGTTCCATTTAGTATTTTTCCAGCTTAGATGAACGTATTGATATGCAACAAAACAAAAACATGAAGTAGCATTTAAAGCTAAGTCTGATAGAGGTACGTGATGAAGTAGTCAAAGCCCTGCTCCACTTTCTTAGGGAACATTTCGGGTACCGCTCCTGGCTGGTGGCTCTGCCTTCTCGCCCAGGCAAGGACGGCTGTAACAGCCTAGGCATGGACTTTTTTGTTTCAGTCTTATCTCCAGTTAGACTAAACACCAGGACAGATCTGCTGGGCTAAGCACAGTGCTGCCCAGTGTCTTGTAGCTTTCCTAGACCTCCTCATTTACCATGCAAGTCTGATACTACATTCAGTATGATAAAACTGTTTCCAAACATGTCATTTTGGAACTCCATAGCCCACTTCCAGTTACGTGGCTTAAAACTGCACACATCACTCTTGTATTGCAGCAACTGAATTTTGTTGCTACTTGCTTTGCTCTTTCAAAACCACTGTCTTCAGGCCCTGCCTAGAAGCGTGGCCTCAAAGTTAAACCTCCTCACTGGCTAAATTCCCCAGGCAGCCGTCCCAGCACACCTGGGAGCCCCAGGGGGCTCTGTTTGTTGGGATAATAACCCCATGTTTCCAGGCCAGAAACCAGGAATGGGGAAACAGATACAGCTTCTACAAACACTGCCACAATTCTTGACAAAAGAAACAAATAAATCTGGACTTAGCAGCCAATACCTTGGTCAGGAGTTAAGGTAACTTTGAACAGCCTTATGGAGCCCACATCAAACTGGACAGGCTGAGTCTGGTCCTGGAGTTTGTGAACTCCAACTATACAAACAGTAAGCACTAATCGTCTTTAGAACCAAAATCTGAAAGTTCCTCCTTCCTCAGGGAAGGAAATTTGAACACTTTACCTCTCAAGGTAAGTCTTCACCATCACAAACACCACTCAGCTTACAGAGCTAAGGGATCTTTTCCACATTACAAGGGCCCAGGCCCCTATGCCCCAACACTATAGACCCTACACCTGAAGCAACAAAATACCACAATCTGTCAATTCTGCAGTTAAAACACTATAGAAATGTACCACTCCTGAACACAAGTGAAATAAATTAGAAACAAGTAAAAACACCCTACCTTTTACGATTTTCTTCTGCTGTGTCACAAGGAGCCACCAAACTTTTTGCACTACCAAACTACCACGTTAAAAGCAGCCCCCTACCTTCAGCTGGGATCCATTTTGAATCTGCCATGTGAGAATCAGGTGTTTTCAATTTTCACTCTGAAATCAGACTGCTCTGCTGAATTTTTTTTAGCAGAGCGAACTCTTTTCCAATGCATTTGTTTGTTCACTTTGTAGAAGTCTCAAATATTGTATTTGCCTCAAAAAAGTCATTTTTCACTTTTGAGATAGTTGAAAATGAGGTTCATTGTTAAGCATGTATTTTGTGGTGACATTGTCTCAGGTGAGGTCTGGCATTCTCATCATTTCCACTGTCGTGAATCGGCCATCCAATATCACTGACTCCAGAGATCTTTTCTTAAATTCACTTTTACTAGAGGCAGATGAAGCGAGACTACTGGATAAGTAAAGGTTCCCGTCGTTTATGGTTTTGGCAAAGACTTGAAAATCTCATGGTGCCTCCCGTAGCCACCTCAGGAACCAGAAGCAAGTCAAAAGTCTGGGATAACACAAACCATTATGGAAAGATGTTTTGACCTGCTATATCTTTCCAACATCCACTGCCCTTTGCAGCAAAACTACTGTATTTTACAATAGATTAAATAGCTGCCAAGTGGCTAAGAAATCATTAGCACACGCACCTTTCATGTAGAAAACAACTGATATTTTAGACATCATACACTGCAATGAGTCTTACTTCTTCTTTGGGACTTTTCTGTTGTTTTTCTAGGACAAAACATTGGATTTTATGACAGAATTCCCACAAGAGTGATGCTATTAGTAAGGATGTCGTATCTAATGAGAGTTAAATGTTACAGCCCTGTGAGTGAAATGCCCCAAGTAACAGGAGCGCTGCTGAGAGCGCGCAGACTAAGGCACGTCTTGGGCAGCAAGTTTTCAGCGTCGCGCGCGCTGGCTCAGCTCAGTGCTGAAAATGCAGCTTCTCACGACTACGTCATCGTTGGAGCTGGCTCGGCAGGCTGCGTGTTGGCCAGCAGGCTCACTGAGGACCCTCTCAGTACCGTGCTGCTTCTGGAAGCAGGCCCTAAAGACACCCTTCTGGGGAGTAAAAGGCTGATGTGGAAGATTCACATGCCTGCTGCGTTGACATACAACCTCTGTGACGAGAGCTATAACTGGTATTACCACACAGTGCCACAAAAGCGCATGGACAACCGAGTTATGTACTGGCCCCGCGGCAGAGTGTGGGGCGGCTCCTCATCCCTCAACGCTATGGTCTACATCCGCGGGCACGCGGAAGATTATAATCGATGGAGCAGGGAAGGGGCCGTGGGATGGGACTATGAGCATTGCTTGCCTTATTTTAAGAAGGCACAGACACATGAACTGGGACCGGATCAGTACAGAGGAGGAAACGGACCCCTGCATGTGTCAAGGGGGAAAACAAACCATCCTCTTCACCGTGCGTTCCTGGAGGCAGCCCAGCAAGCTGGGTATCCGTTCACAGATGACATGAATGGTTATCAGCAAGAAGGATTTGGCTGGATGGATATGACTATACACAAAGGTAAATCACAAAGGGTTCCTCAAGTTGTGTGTCTGAGGCATCAGTAGTATTTCAGAAAGCTCTGTGGAATACAGACCTCTAATCTGCACCAAATGCCATTTTGTTGTTTGGCTTAGCAAAGAGCTACTGCACTCTTAACTATATTCTCTACTCATCTTGCAGCAGCTTCCTATCAGTGTAGTGTGTGTTTCAGTGAATATTATATTGGCTTGCAAGTCTCGATCTATAGTTAATTTTAGAAAGGAGGGTAGCTTTCAGAATGCCTTTGGGAAGTTCAACATGTTAAAATCTTTACTTATTACATTGCATCACATTTGCTTTGAATGCTACACAAGAATGTTTTCTTCTTTTTCCTATATAATTATCCTGTTTGCTATGCAGGAAAATCTTGAAGATGATGAGCATGGCTATTTTGATATTTAATGTAAATATGCACTGCAGGTCAAAGATGGAGCACAGCCAGCGCTTACCTTCGGCCAGCCATATCACGCCCAAATTTGTCAGTCACAGAGAAGACGATAGTAACAAAAATCTTGTTTCAAGGAACGAAAGCCATTGGTGTTGAGTATATGGAAAATGGGCAAAGGAAAAAGGTAAGAAATTTTACTTTTCTGTATGAAAAACATTTGTCAAAACAAAACTGAAACACTGTTTTGAAGAAAAAAAGAGGTTTGTTAAAAGTGTTATCTTACTTCACAAAATGTGTGAGATCTTCTTTTAGGATGGTATATTGTAAGGTTTTTTTTTCCAGGAGGTTATTCCTTGTGAATTATTTTACAGTAGGTGATATTTCAGTTGTATTGATTCAGATATTAATCTCCCAAATACATTTCCCCACATTCCTTCTTTCAGAACTGAGGGACAGGCTGTATCTTGAGATTACTCAAGAGTGTTTGGGAGGAACCTATCTGTAATCACACCCTGTCTCAGCATATTCACTGTTGTGCTGAAATGCTGGTCTTTCTGAAAAATAATTCTGAAAATTGATTTATTTTCTTTTGAGATTTTAATTTGATTATGAAGAAAAATCTCATTTGCCATCATTCCATATAGATGTGGTGTCATACAAAAATAAGAGAATTATTGCAAGTTAATATGCTTTCCTTGGAAATCTATTAACTGTCACTATACAGCAGAAACAATTAACACTTCTCTTTTTTTCATGTTGCTTTAGAAGCTAAATATCCTAAAATAAAAACAAGGAGCAACTCAAGATAGCACCTTAAATTCTGCAAAAGAGGAGAAGCAGGCAGCTGAGCAATGCAAGATCCTTGCACCCCTGTGGGTTTGGCTGGGTAATGAGAGGAGGTTCAGAGGCATCGTCGCATGCCTGGACTGCTGTGTGCCTGCTGTTACCTCTGTGTGCCTGCTGTTACCTCTGTATGCCTAGTGTTACCTCTGTGTGCCTGGTGTTATCTCTGTGTGCCTGCTGTTATCTCTGTGTGCCTGCTGTTACTCCCTTCGAGCAGGGAGAGTGGAGTGCATTGAATGTGAGTGTTCATGAGCCCTGTCACTGGAAAAGAAAGGGGTAGTTTGACAAAAGGCCAAGTTCACCCACATCCCCTTCTTTCACAGCAAAAGGAAAGGGGTGTGAATATGTTTTCACTGAGCACATATTTTTCTCTTTTAACAGTGAAAAGCACAACAGAGGTTTGTTTGTTTGTTTTTTTCCCTAATCCTAAATTTAGGAGTTGTAAGAAAAGGGAAAATGTAGTAGCTTCCCAGGTGTGAATGACACAAGGGACGATTTTGACAATGCAAAAGTGAGAAAATATCTTGACAAAAGTGGAAGGAAGATGTACCAGAAACATTGCAGAGAAGGTTTTAGAAAATGAACTGTGAAGCACAGAAAAGTCTGTTAACAAAACAGAATGTATATATATATATATATATATATAAAATATATGTGTGTATGTTTACATATATGCATGCATGCTGCCAGAGATTTTACAGTCGCGTGTGAGGGACTGATGGGCTTCTGAGGACTTAAATGAGCAGAGAAACCAAACATCAATCTTGGTTCAATGGAGGAAATAAGCTCTTGAGGATTTTTGAGCTCTCTTGTCTCTGAATTCAAAGTGTCCCTGAGAGTGTCAGTTTATGTTTAATAACTCTTACAGAAAATGCAGCAGACACTGGGCTAACTGATCCAAACATCGATACTTTTTTTCCTGGCAAGTAGCACAGGAGTTGCTGGCAGCCCTATTACTGACTGAACTACAGTTTGAGCATGTTATAAACATGGGAATAAATATGGAAATGTTCAAATTGAAAGCCTGATCATTTCTTTCTACAGAAACTTCTGTAGAAAAAGCACCTAGAGTGGGGAGGAGGAGTGAGGGAAAGGTGTCTAAATTGAACCCAAGTGGCATAGCCTAACAGGGCCTCATTATTTGTTGCCTGTCTTCAGATCAGGCTTAATAACGTTAATTTTTTTTGTGCTCACTTCATTTTAGGCATTTGCCAGTAAAGAAGTTATTTTAAGTGGTGGTGCCATAAATTCTCCACAGCTGCTTATGTTATCTGGAATTGGCAATGCAGATGATCTAAAAAAACTGGGGATCCCTGTTATTTGCCACCTTCCTGGTAATATTCTTATTTCTTTTCACCTTTTACCTTTCTAAGGATGCAATTCAAAGACCACTAAGTAACGGAGTTGAGCCCAGGGGTTTTTGGTAGTCAGGTTGTGTGGACTGAAACTAACTAAGTTACAGCAGAAACATTCACTGGTTCATCTGAAAACTGACAGCAAGCAGCCCTAAGGAAAAGCAGCTTAGTTATCATTTGGAAATTTGAAGGAAGAATTTTCATCTGCAGCAGGTTGTCCCATCTATACTCAAACATGGAAGGAATAGCATAGATTTATGAAAAATATCCTGTAAACTAGAAAAACCGATACTATATTCAGAAATCATATCTGGCCTTTCAGAACAAATCTCATAAACATATGCCATTTAGCTTTCTATTTTCATCCTATTTATGTTATTTTTGTGTAAAACCTTATTCTGATATGAGCAAAAGACCATTATGATTCATGATTTTGGTGTTAGTCAACATTGCCTTTGTAAGGGGTTAGTTTAGTGCCCATTTATGCTGTTTTCTGGTAGCAATATTGTATATAGTTTTTCTGTGTGAAATAACTCTGTTTTTCTTCCTTTTTTTTTCTCTCCTCACCCCATTTTTAACCTTTTAATCAGGAGTAGGCCAGAACCTCCAAGATCACTTAGAAGTGTACGTCCAGCAGAGGTGCACCAAGCCTATCACTCTGTATAATGCACAAAAGCCAATTAACATGGTGAAAATTGGTTTAGAATGGCTTTGGAAGTTTACAGGTAGGAAATTTCCTCTGTGAATATCAATTATTTATAGTGGTGAAGCAAGGGTTAAGAAGCAATTTCCTTGGATTTTTTTTGATGTCTTTAGTGGCATTTTCCCTCTTGTTTACACTCTCTAGGTGAGGGAGCAACTGCCCATCTGGAATCTGGTGGTTTTATCCGAAGCCAAGCGGGGGTTCCTCACCCTGACATTCAGTTCCACTTTCTCCCCTCTCAGGTGATTGATCATGGCCGGGCTGCTTCCACCATGGAAGCTTTCCAGGTGAGCTGCTGAAAGGCCTCCTGCACTAGTGTCCTGTGGCAATTAGCAAGGAGGCCTACACTTTATTATGAATGAGGATAATTTGGCTATATACTGATTTTTTCTGTATTATAATAAGAACTTGGCTGATCCCCTTCACCGGGGGAAAACTATGGACTTACTGTTTGATATGCTATCAAAATTATCTTGCCATTTATCTCTGGTAAAATACAGCTGTGTTGTCCTGTTTGCACTGTGCAGCACTGTGCCATAGTGCTGTGGATTCGGTTGCCATAGTGCTGGATACTGCACAAAACCCAAACGAGGTGGTCCCTTTTCCACCACCGTTTAGACAGAGGTTTATGCTGGGGGCTGGATGTGGTGTATCTATTACTCGATGCAAATGCAAGACCTGTTTTAGAATCTTGTCTGTGTATAATTTTACCCATAACTTGTAATACCTTTATTTTCTTTTATATCAACTTTTGTATGCAGATGGCAAAAAATTCTGTCCTAACACCAGGAAACTGTTACTGAATGTACTTGTTCATTCTTGCTAATGTATTTTCTACAGTGATGAAAGAAATTTGGTCCCCTGAATACTGAGCTACCACTAAACTGGAATGATTGATTTTAAATTTTTAAATTAAAAAATGTAATTTTTCATTTAAAAGACAATTGCAAGCATAAGTATATTTCTCCCTTCTCAGCATGCAATATCATATTTACAGCTTCTATATATAAAATAATGTTCACATTTTGGGCTTTTTCATTATCCTAACATTTGATTAATTTATAAAGGCAGTTTGAATTGCAAAAAAAGAGGCATATTGAGTTCTGAAACGTGTCGGGTCGGACTGAGTCACAGTGTTGCGGATGTTTTGCAGGTACACGTGGGGCCCATGAGGAGCAGCAGCATAGGCTGGCTGAAGCTGAAGACTACAAACCCAAACGACCATCCTATCATTGAACCTAACTACATGTCAACCGGTAAATGCAGCTTCTC